ATTTATATTACATGCATTAATCAACAACCGTTTCTGTTATCAATGTCCGTTCAAAAGGACCATTCGAATAGAATGTTAACTTGCAGTGTATCCTATCGTCAATTATTATGGTAGCACTACAAGGAATGTTCTTACAAGTGAAGAAGACTCGTGAGTTGTGGGCAATGTCGAAAATCGATCTCGTGAGCAACTTGCTTGCTTTTTTTCCAAAATAATTTTCTGTTTGTCTTGTCCTTTTTCAATGTGCACAAGCATTCCGAATTGGACCATCTTTAAGAAGGGCATTACTGTGGTGATACTTCATTCAAAATTTATTTCTTTTATTACTGGCAGTTGAAACTAACTGTTTCCAATAGCTCTGTAGGCGATTTGGTTGGTTGCGTTCTGGGCAACTGTGATCTGGGATGTGGTTCAGGGTCTTGCGATTGCGATTGGATTCGCGTTAATCACAGTCATATTCAGATCACAATGGTAATGCTGCATTTCATTTGCCTCATATTAGTTTATCAAGTTCGAAAACGCAATGCTCATTTAGTGCTGGAGTCTTTGCGTTTATGCGATATCTTCGTGACATATTGCCCAAGGAGACATCATTCACATTATCACTATCCGACGAATCCTCCACTCATCCCTTTCATTAAGATTGCAAATGACACGAGTAAAGAACATCGAATCATAATTCAAGCGTATTTCAGGCCAAAGGCAGCGAAACTGGTGCAAATCGGCGATACAGAAATCTATAAAGACATACACAGATATGGGTGAGTGAAGGTGTATTGTAAAATGCTCATTGTTAACGTTACGATAGCGCACTTTCTGTGGCTCAACCAACTGAACGTTCAATTCAAACTTCAAAAAACTTAAACGTGTTTCACTTTGTTCTGTTTCATTTCACTTTTGAATGAAGTGTCATCTAGTTGTCAAAAATGAGAGCGCTCTAATCTAGTCATCATTCATCTAGCACTAAGCCTTTGATGGTGGCTTTGCAGAATGATTGCGGCGTGGCATTGATGCAAAATCGTATTATAATAATCTCATTAAAGAATTGTAATTGCAGTGTACACACAACATTTTCACACATTGTAATCTTTCGTTATGATGCACCATTACTGTTTTTCAATAGCGAGAATTTCAAGGCTCGTGCACTTGAAGAAGTGGAAAAACAAGAAAATGAACTCAGAAGTGTTAGTTGTGATCGATTTTTCGAAAGATATAATGAAAGGAATTCTTAATCACTGTTTTTTGTGCAGAAATGTTTTCCGCAATGCTTTTTGATCATTGCAATTTTGATAGAAGCTTGAAAGAGTCTTGAGTTGTTCCTGGTTAGATTTTTCTAGCTAGTTTCTGATTATAACTCCAATTTTCAGTTTTCAGTTTTGTGATTAGAAATGCGGTTTTTAACTAGCGATACAACTCAAATAAATTCAGCTTCAATGAACGACGAATTGATATCGAAGTAACTGTGCTAGTTGCAGGTTGCCCTATCAGCCAATTCAACTAGCGACACGGCAGATGCACCGAAGAAATCGAAACGTTCCCGAATATACGATTTACCGCAATTTCATTTCATTCGCCGTAAAGATAAGCACGAAACAGAAAATATGGTACGATACTTGATTATCGATGCGTCTGGCTTCACACATATGGATCAAATGGGTGTGAAAAGTTTTAAGGATCTGTCGGCTGAAATGGCGAAGAGACATGTAGAAGTCTTAATTGCATCTTGTAGAGGTCAGTTGAAATTCTCTTTCAGTGGCTGTTCCTTTTTGAATACAAGATTATCACGCAATAAATTAGACCAAATCTCATTTAATTCATCGCTTAAGTATTTTTCTAAGAAGCGAATGCATTTAATTTTTTCATTTCATTCTTTCAAAATTCATTTTTGGATTTTTCCGGCGATGGGGGGGGGTGGTGAGTGCACAAAATGATCCGATCCCAAAAAATCGCTGAATTTTGGAGTGGACTTTCTACGCCTACTTCTCTTCCTCCTCCCTCCCCTTCTATCTTTCCCATCCTTTCCTCAATTCCTTCTCTTTTCCTCCCTCTTTTTCCTTCTATTTCCCTCTTCTTGTTCTCTTTCCCTACACCGTTCAGGAGGGGGGCGCCTCTTGCACTCCCACCCGTTAGCTACACCATTGACTCTGCTCTCACCCTGAGACCTTACCTCATGTCATTATGCCATTTCAGCAAAAATTCGTCAGAAATGTCTGCAGTGTGGACTATTCGAGAGTCTGCCACGTAATCACTTCTATCCATCAATTCACGACGCAGTTCTGTACGCCATTCATAAAGATGAAATTGAAGAAGCAAAGAAGGTCTCTCAAGTGTCTCAAGTGGATGCGTACTTACATCGACGTAAAAGCTGTAGCTTAACGTTCATTGAACGTAATACGGGACTTCGTGCTTCACTGAAACGAGATGATGAAAATTGTGATCTATCAGATGAAGTGTCAAAGGAAGACTCCGAATCGTCGTCGTC